CACCAAATCCCACCACCACCTGGGCGGGTTTCAGCATCCATGTTGGATGACTGATCCGAAACCCAAGCCTCTCAGTTTGGGGATGGCTTCGGCTCCAGTGACCTTCACCTCCACTCCACTCCAGCTCCCCCTGCATGCTCCAGATGCACTCAGATCTTAACCCTTTCACAGCCCGCCTCCCGCAGTGCTCCTTCCCTCCACACCTCCTCTCCCCCCACTTCTCTGCATCTCTGACGCCCCCAGCCCCCACCCTCCCTCTGTCCTGCTTGGTCCCGTCCCTTCCCTGTGCGCCCTTCACTCGGAACGTGCTCCTGGATGCCAGTGAGGAGCCGGGGGAGTGTTTTCATGCATGGCGAAGGCTGGGCTGCTGCGTGTACTGTACAGGTTATAGATTTTTACACTTACTTTAACTGCTTTACAGAGGATGAAAAGAAAACACTTTCAGGAAGGAATGCCTTTTCTGACTCATACCCAGAGGTCACATGGGCCAGCAGCAGCCCCGTTATCTGATGTGATCAGTACCAAGGGTCAATTAATAGAGAACGTGGGTTAAAACGGCACACGAGCACCTGTGGGTCTCAGTGAACACGCACCTGTACAGCAGGTGTGGCCTCAGGTGCTCAGCATGTCACCGGATCTGCTGCCATCTTTGCTCTGCCTCCTTCCCTTGTTGTCCTTGCAAGGACACCTGAGGTGGGTATCGTGCCCATACTCAGGAAGAGTAGACTGAGGCCTGGCAAGTCGGTGATGCATCCCAGCCGTCGATCATGCTGAAGACAAAAAGGATCCCCTTTTTCGTAAAAAGAAAAATAATTGTGAAGTTTGTTAGCACTAGGCACATTTTTATATTTTTCTCCTTGGAGATCAGGAACTTAATGAACTGAGTATAAAGGAACTAGGAAAATATATTCACTTTGAAACCTTTTCTTATTTATAACTTGAATTTTTGCTGACAGTGCTATGCTGTTAGGAGCCAACTACCACTTTTGAAGGAGAAAGCTGTATTTCTGATCTCATTTTTTATCCTAAGAGAAGAGAGCGATGTATTCCTTAGACGGGATGATTTTGCAGAGGCGAGGTTGGGGGTGGTGGTGGTCAGTGGAGATGTGCTGGCTGGAGGGGACAGAGGGAATTGTAGGGGAGGGAACCTGGCCTGCGGCCCAGATTCACAGCAGGAGGCCTTGCCTGAGATCTTTGCATGAGCTTGAGAGCTGGAGATGGCCTTGAAATGGCCAGCAGCCTGTGTGCGTGTGCGGCTCTGTGTGCACGCAAGTGGGCGTGGGCTCACACGTCTGCGCGTGGGAGGAATGGTCCGTGACACCCATCCAGTTCTCAGACGGACCTGTGCCCCCCCACCTCTCTTCCTCCTCCCCACAAAAAAAGGCTGAGTCCCTGTTTGGAAAGTCGAGCAGAATAATTTGTTTTGATGCCGATGAAGTGGTGTTTTCTGATTTCTCTCCCGAGAAATCAGACTGCCTTTCCCAGGCAGGACTGACCTGGCCGTGGGCCCTGTCACACCTCCCTGTTTTCCTTTTCTCTTCACCCGAGGCCAACACTGGACAAATCGGTGACCTCCAGGAGCAACACAGAGTCATCAGCAGCAACCTTGCCCTCGTTCAGGTGAGTCTCCGCCCTGCAGGACTGATGAAGCTCCTTCCCCTGTTGAATCTGCAGCCAGGCCTGGCCAGGCAGGAAGGGCGAAGGCTGGTGGGTCCTGTCCCCGCACTCGGGACTGAACGTGGAGGACAGGCAGCCACCTGTCCACCCTGCGCCCACCACACCACGCTCAGGCAGCACCAGGCCCCCCTGAAGTAGTTGCCTCTTCTGGGGCCCAAGGTCCCTCCAGCTCCCCCAGTCCCTTCTTTGCAAGCCAAATGTCTTTACGGGGGGGGTCACCGGCACTTTCCCCTTTCTCATTGCCGACGCGCTGGCGGGCTTCTCGCTGCGCTTCCCGAGGCCAAAGAGCTCGCCTGATGTACTCGTCCTGTGCCTCTCACACGTGATCCTTCTTACTCCTCCTGGGGCATCCGCGGACCCCCCAGCCTCTCTGCCAGTTCCTCCTCAGCCTTTGAGGGGACTCTCAGCTCCTCAAGTGCTTCACGCTCCTCGCAGACTC